CAGAAGCCTTAGCGCTTCAGCCAATTGTTTTAGTTGGACTGAAAACAAGTTGGAAACCTTCACCAACTTTTTAATATTTTAAAATATTACAAAGTTGGCATTTATTAACATTGCATGATCAATTTCATTTTAATTTTATTTACTTAATCATTTTCAATCAATCTTTTTAAATAGTACTGGAGAAAGAAAATAGTTTATTGTTTTGAAGATTTTTTTGTTTCACTTTTCCTTCAAGTGACGTTCTTGAGAAAAATAATGATTAACCGCAAGGTCTTTATTAGACACTAGATAATCATCATCGTATAAGTTGATACCGACAAGAATGGTCTCGTATCGCGTGGTATCGCTCATATACTAATGTCAATACTATCAGAATCGCTTCGATACCAAACGATACCGATAATAAAAAGAATTGTATAATTTCGCATGGTTTCAATAAAGCAAAACAAAAATGTGACTTATCGAACTTTTTATTTACAAAATACAAGTACAATTGTTTGTTTAGAGATTTAGTTATTTTTTTTAACAATCTACAATACTTTGGCTATCGTCCATTCGTTGTTTTTTCATTTGCTGTACTTTCACTTGTATTTAAGGACTTTATTCTATTTTAACTATTTTGGGGGTACATACTGTAAATTTTACATTTGAACAATGTCAAATAAGTTAAATAATTTAAAAACTGTTATTACCAAAAAATGACCCTTTGATAGGCGTGAATTTAATTTTTTTGTTTTTTACAATTAATTAGTAGGTATCTATATATGAAACAAAAAAATTTAGAATGGGTAGACATACAACCTGGCGGTCAATTTAGCGCATTGTGCTTTGAGCGTTATCCCTAAAAATCAGTCGATTTATGAATTATTGCTCCAACAAATAAATTTAACTTTTAAAAATCTCAATAGTTTATAAACAATAATAGTTATAACCCAGTAAGCACAAGACGCATTTTCGACACTTATAGACGTCTAAAACTAGTCTAGTTAAAGACGCACTTTTATAGACGTTTTGAAGACATCTTTAAGACGTCTTTTATAAATGCGTTTTTAAAATGACATTTAAAAGGCGTCTTTTTGAAAGATAAAAAGACGTCTAAAAGACGTCAATTTTTAAGACATCTTCTAGACGTCTTTTATAAAGACGATTTTAAAATGACGTTTAAAAGGCGTCTATTTAAGCGTTAAAAAAACGTCTAGAAGATATCTTTTTTTAAGACATCTTCTAGACGTCTTTAATAAATGCGTTTTTGAAATGACGTTTAAAATGCGTCTTTTTAAAGTTTAAAAAGACGTTTGAAAGACGCATAATAAATAGTCTTAAGGACGCATTAAAAGACGTCTAGATCATTAGGCTAAAAGACGTCTTTTCTGAGACCTGTTTATAAATATGTCATTATGACTTCTTTTTGACGGCTTTGTCATTACGCGTTAAGTAGATGTCGTTTATTCAAAGTAAAAACATAGTTTTTATTATTTTCAATAATATGTTCAAGTTTTAAGTGTAAATTACTTTAAATTAAATTACTTTTTTACACAATTGCTAAAATTGTTGTCACAGGAATCAATAAAACAATTGCTATAATATTAATATATCTTTTTTTTATTAATAATTATTTTGCTTTTTTAATAGATAGTTGACTGATCATGATAATAAGTGAAAATGGCAAGAATAATAAATAAGTTAAATATCAGTATTTTTAGTTTTTATACACCCACAAGCCATATAATAAGTCAAATATTAGCTTAAGTTTTAAAATATTATTAATACTGATTTATTTATATTCGAAATTGTTATAACTTATTTTCATCTTCGATGCATCAACCGTTGGTGTTGATTTCAGCAATATTATTTTGATTGCCGGTTCCTATGTATATCTTGTATATACGAATTTATAACAATATATATCGTAATAAATAATATGAATATATACCACATACTACGCGAAAATGTTACGTCATGCACTTAAATTCATCTTAAAAAAAACGTCTAAAATTTGTCTAAAACGCGTTTTTATAAAGACGTCTTTATTTAGACGTCTTTTAGCCTTATGATCTAGACGTCTACAAGTGCGCCTTTTAGACCTCCTTAAAGACATCTTTAAAACTCTTTTTAACGTCTTTGTGCTTACTGGGAACGTAAAAACTTAAAAAATAAACTGCACTTTTGTTAAAAAAAAACTAAAAAAATAAAATCCTTTGGAAAGATTCAAAGCTTGATCTACGGACACACTGGCAAAAACTTTTATCCGCTTGGCCACGCAAACTTTGATCAATCATTTCTCATACTTTTTTAGAATAATTATTAACGATTGTATCACAAGGAATTTCCTTTGGAGATTCGTATGAAAAACTCTCTTTAATGGTTGCAATACTATTCCCTTTAATTAATTTTAATTCCGAATAATTCCGAGATTAATTCCGCACAGAAAATATTTGCCTGAAAGGAATAAAAACTCAATAGAGTTGTAATAACGATTTGAGAAACTGCACAAAGCAGGGGGGGGATCCAGGTCATTGTTCTAGAGGGGTAGTCCCACCAAAAATAAATATTCAAAAAAAAACTTTAAAATATTATTGATAAAACTTAAAAAAAATAAGATAAAATACAAAAAGTTGTAATTTAACTTTTTATTATTTTTCTCAAAAAACAATAAAATAATAAAATGTTAAATTAAATTTTTTTTTTTTTTCCTTATTATTTAAGTTTTATCAATAATATTTTAAAGTTTGACATTTCCTAGGTAGGGGGAAGGGTAGTAACACCGAATACCACCCCTCTTTCCTTTTTGTCCGCCCACTACACACTGTTTAACACTGTTTAATTTAATTATTTGTGATAATTTAATATAGAAAAAAATGTTAAAAAAAATCTTTTCTTTCCTTTTAATCACGATAGAAAAAATTTAAAAATATTTTCCTGATTCTTTATACTGTACGCAACAATACCAACATAAGCGATAACTTCTGATACTAGTATTGCGTGATCTCGATATTGATACTGCAAGGTATTGCACCAAGACCAAACGATCCCAACATAAAAGATGATAAATCGAGTCTCGAGACCGATTATCTAGTGTCTTGTCTTTATCACATCTAAATGATATAACTTCATCTATACATTCAAAAAGTTTTTTTGCTCTAATTTTCATTGACCCATCTGATCATTGATCCATTTATTCATTTTAATGATTAATCTTAGTTCCTAGTCTTCGTAGCTCAGTGCAACTTTTTAAAAACTTCTGTTTTATTCCATGTACAAATGTAACACGGATAAGATACCATGGAACTTGGAGATATACCACATAGAGTTTGATATCTGCCACACAAGTAAAATTTTATTTATCTTAACAGAGCTTGTTAAGCAGCATTTTTACTTTATAATTTGACTTGGGTACGTTTAATATCAATGTTAAAATAAATGATGCTTTTACAGATCTATCTTTAAATTTTGATGACTTAATTTCTCCACATTCTCTCGTTCTTTTTAATTGTTTCATTGTAAAGGATTTAATACAATATTTAAAAAAACCTTAATTGTTTATAAAAAGTTACATTGGTTAATTTTTTAACTAACAAAAAAAAATTAGCACATTCAAAAACAAAGTTACCTTAAAAAATCCCCAACTTTCATCAATGGAAATGTTTACAGAATGGTTTTAAAGATAGGCCCGTTTTTATTTATTATTTGCCGCAGAAACTCATTGGCATCTATTGTTTTGATAAATGGGATCAGTTTAAACAACTTTTTTTCCTCTAGGGATATAATGTTAAATAGTTATAAAAATACTTAATTCTATAGTTGATTGTATGTCAATCATACTATTTGTAGAAAGATGTTGTATTTTGCTATTTTTATCGATGTTTCTCTTAAGTGTAAAACTTACTTTTTTACCACTGGTACCAAGTTTTATTTTTTTCATCAATTTTATCTTTTATTAGAACATAAGCTATTCGACCAATTGTGTTGACATCATATGCAAGCTTTCCCATAAAGTCACTTTTAAGTAGAGCTTAGAAACATTTGTGGGTAGTTCTTTTTCTAATAATTAAAATACAATTTCACGTCCCTTTTTAAGTTTTTTATTCTACCTTGAGTAGATCCAATGCTACATATCGTGGGTATACTAACAAAAGACGATAGATCAAAAATTGGTAGTTTTGACTTAATAATGCAGTATTGTAAAGTTTGCAACGCTCTACAAACTGGCAAAACCCACTTGAGTAAAATATATTTTTTCTGCCTATAAAAATACATTTAACGTTAACTCATAAAATGGATGTTTTATTTAGACTTTAAATTAACTTTATTTTACTTGAATTAGTTACTAAATTACTTATTTCTTGAATAAACACTTAACAATATGATGTATTTAAATGTCAATACCAAATGCAGTTTAATAAGATCATAAAAGTTTCAAATTGGAAGAAAACTTAAATGTTTGATTTCTCTAACCGGGATTTTCGTTGTCGTAAAGACGTCCCACGGACGTCTGTACCCGTTGGATAAATTTATTTGTTTTTTTAGCACATTATAGTAGTCAATTTTCACACTTAAATTTGTTCAAATAAACTCATTGTACTTTGAAAAATAAAATAGATTAAGAACATAGTGAAAACACACTTTAATATTTACCAAAAATATACAAATGTGTATTCCATATAATAACTTACAAACACTGTAACCAAATATACGAACAAAACAAAATATAATGCAAATATAAAAGCTGATTGTAGTAGTATAAAGGTGCTTAATTAAATGCAATTTAAATTTTATTTTACTTTCAAGCATTATTATTTGTACATCATTTTTAAAAATAAAAATAAAATAAAATGAAAATATACACAATTAAGAAGTTTAATTACACATGAACTTATAATGAGTTGCGGTCTATTTTGTATAAAACTATTGCTTTGTATAAAACTTATATATTTATTCTTTTAAACACCCAATAATTACATAAACTATAGGTAAAAGTATTAAAAAAAAACAAAGCACATTTAAGTATTTTCTTGCATCGTTCTTGGAATGTTTTCCTCCATCAGCGTTCTAAATATTTCTCTTTGTTCCTTTAAATTCCAGTGTTGGAACGATTGTTTTAAGATCGCCGCAACATTGGCCTCCAATGCTTCCTGAGGGCGTGCAATTATAATTTTCTTACCCTCGATCATAAATTGGAGCATGTTTATATCAGCTTTCTTACACATTATCATTACCTCACCCACAAATGATCGTTGATTCATTAAAGGCATCTGAGTCCGTATAATCGAGTAACATATGGGGTTGTTTAAAAGCCTGATAAATAGATTTAACTTGTTGCGAAAAAGAATGTCTGACACAGCGTCTACTTTGAAATAAGAATGTAGATAATTTCTACTTTGCTTTGAAATATTAAAGAAGGATTTTAAGACAGATCGTCCAGCTATATCAATGCTATTTAGAAACTTATTGCTGCTTCCACACAGTTCTAATCCGTATAACAACGTTGGAACAGCTAAAGAATTAAATAAATGAACTATGGTAGCAGGCTGGCAAAAGCGAAGTCCATTTCTTATAAGACCTTTTGCAACAGATAAAAATTGCGTTACACGTTCAGTTATATTTTGTTTTTGGAGTGTTGCTGTCATTTTTTTGTTCTTATTATCCCAAAGGAAACCAAGATGTTTTAGATTGTTTTGAGGCTTGATAGGATCACCGTTAATATAAATAACGTTAATTAAAATCGAACTTATTCCAGATATTAGAAATTCAGTTTTTTCTGTATTCAGTTTAATAAAGTTCGATAGTCCATACTTTTGAACAATGTTAATAAGGCTCTGAAGACCAGATATAGTGGAACTTTGTAAAACTATATCATCAGCATATGCAATGATACCTGTGTATACACCATTTATTGAAGTTCCAACTTTTGATTCTGAAACAATTTTCTCTAGAAGGTTCTCTGTGTAGATATTGTAGAGATGAGGCGACAGTATGGATCCTTGACGCACTCCCTGAGACAGCCTAAATTTGTTTGATGTACATCCAAGATATGATATATTAGAAGTTCCTGTTTGATATAGTGATAATATTGTATGAACTATAGATAATGGGATTTTTTTCTGGTAATAGAGTTTCTCGAATAGTAATTCCCAATTACAACTGTCAAAAGCTTTGTTGGCGTCTAGACTGCATATATATAGCGGTGAGTTATTATGATTATAGTGCTTTATTGTTTCACTCAGAAGAAATTCTGCGTGGAGGGTAGAGCTGTTTTCTTTAAAACCGAATTGATGGGAATGACTTTCTGTTATATCTGGACATATGTGTATGATAAGATATTCGAGAAGTTTTGTAAAAATTGGTATAATGCTGATTCCTCGATAGTTATTTGGATTTTCTAGTGATGTTTTATAAGACTTGACTAATGGGATAATTTTGGCGGTTGATAAACCGTGTGGAACCTTTCCATTTGTTAACATATTGTTATAAAACGACGAAAGTAAAATAAGAAGATTCTTGTTGTGAGAGTTTTTAAGATGTTCAGCACTGATTTCATAGCAATCGTAAGATTTATTATTTTTAAGCTTTAAAATACATTTTTCAATATCAGCTGTCGAGATAACTTTTGAATTAGGCTCTTTACTTAAATGTGGAATTTGGAGAGGATTGAACTCGTTATTTGTATATTGCGGTGTATTAAGTAGTTTTTGGAAATGATGACTAAATTCTTCGACGATTTCGTTTTTGTTCTGCAATTTATTAATTGTAAAGAGTCGATTGTTAGTATTTTTTTTGATTTTTCGAATATTACCCCAAAACCTTTGAGGATTTGTATTGCGTAAGTGTTCTATATTTTTAGTTTTTTCGTGAATTTTTTTGTTATGTGCCGCTTTTACAGCTTTACGAAAGTTTTTTCGGGAATAAATAAATCTTTTGTAGGATATACATTCTGTTGACTTATTATAGCCTGATTTTTGCCATTGTCTAAAGTGAAAGGAGAGATTATCTTTAATTTTTTTAAGCTCAGGTGTCCACCAAGGTTTCGAGTACTTATAAAATTCTTTTTGTCCGAAACATTGTTTAACTGCCAAGAGAGCTGCATTTTTTATATATAAGCATGTTTTTTGAATTTCTTCTTCTATTTTATCTTCCTTAAATGCGTAACTAGTAAATGCTTTTGATAGATTGAGATTATAAAAGTCAATAAACCTTTCGTTATTCCATGCATGTTTTGGTATTGAATTATATTTTTGCATTATATTATTTATTTCGTGTGATAAGCCGGTACCTTCAAAGTTAATATTCGTAGACACCGGAAGGTGATCACTAAGGTTAAGCGGTGAAGATTGCATAACTTGACAGTTTGTAAAACATAGTTCTGTCTGTTTATAGGATGCAATATGGTCAATGTAAGAAGAATTAGAAAGAGTTTTATGTTGATAGGTATAAGTAGGCCCAGCACCGTTGATTATATCGACAAAAGCGAGCTGATTTGATTCAATAAAATTAGTGAGATGTTTTGAGAAATTGTTCCTAGTTTTGTTTTTACGAATCTCTGAATCATATATTTTATATGGAAATGACTGAAAGTCTCCGGAAATAATACATTCTCCTTCATCCTCATAGTTGTTCATTATTGAAGTGATTGTTTGTAGCTGAGAAGAGTATTTTGCGTATGATTCGTTATTATTACGACAAGATGAAAGGTAAACACCAATAAAAATTAAGTTACGATTGTTAAGTGTGCCTTTAATAGCAAGAATGTTTTCATCTTCATGTATTATGTAAAAAGACGACAATTTTTTTCGTACCATAAAAGCATTTCCTCCATATGGTCTACCGTGTGTATTTTTTTCTGCCGCATGAAAAAAAACTTTGTGTGTTAGTAATGCAATGTTATTTAACAAAAAACTCTCAATATTTAAAAGCCAATGTTCTGATATAAAAATAATATCGAAAGACTTTAACAACTTAGAAATATAATATGAATTCGATTTAAAGCTTTGACAGTTATATGCACATAGCGTAATATTTGTGTTAGTTACATTTAATTCTTTTTCTCCCATTATGATTTCAATTTTTATTGTTGCATAAATGCTGAAGAGTGGTGTAAGAATTGTGGCAAATGATTTTCGGTATTTTGATGTGGTTTTTCGATTGTTAGTGCTTCTCGCCGCATTCTAAACGGTTTAACAATAATGTTGTTATCCCAAACATCGGGTTTAAGTACCATTCCTTTTTCAGTACTATTAATTTTTACTTTGAAAGAGCGGTTGTACATGTTTTCTCTATTAAGCTTTATGTCTAAAGGAGTAATACCTATTTCTTTATTCATGTAGTTTGATAGATCTTCTTCGGATATGGAATTACAAACTCCGCCTACAAATATATATGATTCTCGAATAATACGTTTGCCCGCAATCGAGCTTCTGTTGCTAGCGACTTTGTTTCCGAAAACGGGTTCTTTTTTTTGCTTATCCATATGGCTCTTATTAACTTTATTATTTTTTCCTACCACTTTGAATTCTTGATAGTCTGTTACACAGTCTTTTTCTTTTTCTGGTTTCCGGTTATTTTGTTCCGGGTTTTGCATTTTAACCACGGTAGCGTAGGAATCTCTAATTTTATTTTTTCTATCGGTATATAAACTTGAAATCTCTGTGCTGGAGTGTGCAGTAACTTCTTCCAGCGTATTTCTTTGATTTGGGGAATGATATTTTATTGAATTTGAAACAATAGATTTTATATTTTCTTGCGATTTATGAGGTTCACAATTACTTGTGTTGTTAAATTGTGACGCACATTGATTTTTCACGATTTCGTTATTTGTTTTTTGTAGTTCGTCGTATTTTACCTGTAATAAATGCAAATCTGCCATAATTTTTTTATTTTCTAATTGTAATGCTTTTAACCGATCAATAACTTCTTTTAAAATCAATGCCATATTTATATCTGGCGGTTGATACATTTGTTGACTAGCTTGTTTGGAGTTAGAAATCAATTTAATAAAGTCTTTATGAAGTTGATTTTCCGCTAAAGAAATCGACATCAGATAAATATCATCAAGACATGTTAATATCTTATACCGTTTTCTCAGATTTTTTTTAACGGGATCTTCCGCGTCTAGAATAATGTTTAGCAGTGAGAACTGCTCTATGTCAAAACGTTCCAATATTTCTTGAAATAATTCCACTCTTAATTTGAAAACTTCCGCCTCCTTAAATTGAGAAAACCCATAGATGATTACATCCCTTGGATGTGAGCAGATTTCCTCTACATTTATAATATAGTTCTCTAAAATATTGTTACTTGACTGTATTGTTAAAAACAACTCACCAATTTCTCTTGGCGCCATATAGCATAAAGTTTAAATACATCGAGATTAAAATCTTTTTTTTTTTTTTTTTTTGCTGAAGTAAATTTCTTAATAAAAAACACGTCCGTTTGCACCAAATTATGCGCAAGAAATGTTTTGTATAAAACTATTGTTTTGTATAAAACTATTGTTTTGTATAAAACTTATGTTTTGTTTAAAACTATTGTTTTGTATAAAACTATTGCTTTGTATAAAACTATTGTTTTGTATGAAACTATTGCTTTGTATAAAACTATTGCTTTGTATAAAACTATTGCTTTGTATAAAACTATTGTTTTGTATAAAACTATTGTTTTGTATAAAACTCAACTATTTCTCACTTATTTTGATTGTTATTCTCAGTTTCATTATCACATTATAACTCAAGTATAACTCAATATATTCGCCTAAACTGTCTCTCTGATATACAAGCCTTTATTTGTTTTTTATCAATTTCTTTATTATTTAAAAAAAGTTTTTTTTTTATTCCATTTACTAACTTTTCTGGTAATTTTAACATCTGCTCCACTAAGGGCCTCCGAGAGCTTTCATAACGCCCTGGGCTAAGTAGCAATTAAGCGCCCCTATCATTATGTATACTTTTAAAAGGAATTTAAATTAAAAGCATGTACAGTTATCCAAGTTAATGACTATGTTTTTAATTCTAATACTAGTATGTTATAAATAATACAATTGTTTTTTAAGAAACACATTTAACATTTACTGATACAGATTCTTTGAAATTAATATTGAAAATACTTTTTTAAAAATAAAAGTTATTATTATTTTTATGCCATCTTACGACAGAAAGGTATTCAGTTCATTTTCAACACGTCTTGTTCTAAAGTCCAGTAGACACGGGGCGTAAAAAAGACTTCTTGAGCGTTCTGAACATCTTTTGAACGTTTAAAGACATCTTTATAAGATCCCGTTCCTACTGACAGTCGTAAAAGCTATTCACCCTCGCTGAATGAGATTATGTTAAAAAATTAAATTAGTATGTATTTAGACAGATTCTTCGAAATTAATATGCATATAGATTGGAAAATGGGCTGCAGAACTTTTAAGTACATTTGGTCGAGAAAGCTTAAAATATTTATAGATTTAAAAAATGAAGAGTCATTCATTTAATAATATGAAAAATGTTTTTAAATAATGTTTTCTTCTATTTCACAAGCCTTTATTTTTACCGTTCTTAATTTTTCATCCAGATGAAGGATGATCTTAATGAAACTTTCACAATGCTATTTTTAGATGGATTTTATTAAATGAAATCATGTTGCGCAACGATAAAGATTTTCATTTCAAGGGCATGTTCAAGGAACTCATAAAAAACCCACGTATTTACAGGCTTATCATAATTTTGCTATTATTGTTCGTTTTGTTAAAAACTCATCATAAACATGTTTTTTAAAAGTGATGGTGTCCTTATTTAAATTCCTCACATATTTAAGCCGTCTTCGTAAATTTGGTTACGGCATTTCTGCAAGTCAAACTATTCTTTTATAAGTAAACTAACGTTACTCGTTGTTTTTTTCTGTCTTTGACACAAAAAGACTTAGAAAAAAATTAGAAAAGCGCTTTTTATCTCCCAACTTTTGTAGATGAAGCCAAAGTGTAAAAATAAAAAAATAAAAGTGATATCTAATACATCCATAGCCCCATCAAAGATGACGGTATAGTGTCATGACAAAGTTTATATTAAGTCAAAAAATATTTTGTTCGGATAAGATGTGGCGTCTATAACGTCTACTTTAATATTGTCAATATATTAAACACGTTAAAATTTTTCTCTTTAGGTGGCCCCACCAGCCACCGATAGCAGATATTTTAAAACTTTTTAGTTTTGGTAATATAAATAAAGCAAGTTAATTGCTACTCTTATCATCTAGAAAGTTTATTTTACACCTTATCAACAAAAATAATTTTTTGCAATTAAAATCTCATTATGCTATTTAGGTTTACAGCTGTTGGCTAATATACTGCAAATTTTTTTTTACAAAAATAACTTTTACCCTACAATATACATCCTATATAGACACTCAAAGACACTGTATACACAATCAAAAAAGAAAAACAAAATTAATATTAAGCAACCTACAACTTTTTTTGTCCTCCGTGATATGGCGCCCCTATTACCTTGGCTCCCAGGACACGTATGCCCCTCTTGTCCCTGCCTCTCGGCGACTCCACTAATATATATTTTATGTATAGTTCATTGGTCTTGGAAGAATTTTAACTCCCCTTGAGGAACTTTATTTTCTTACACATTTACAATCTGCGGTTGTCTCTGGAAAAGTTCTCTACGTAGAGTTGGCGCTTAAAAAAACAAATGTCAAATAACAATAGAAAGATGTAATTGTAATTAGTAAATTGTAAGTTGTAATTTTAATTGTACTTGATTTTTATTGGCTTATTTATTGGCAGTAAGCAGAAATATAACTGTTTTAAGGTGAAAGGTAGGAATGGATACCATGTTTCATAATTCCAATAAATCATTTGTGATTTTATTGATAATAAATGCATTCTGTGTGTTTGGGTTTTTTCTTAGTTGTACAAAATTTGGTTGAACATAGACAGCTAATTTTTTGGTAAAATATTAGGAAGACCAAATATATAGCGAAGGTTTTCATGCTTTAATGCCTGATGTTGAAGGTTGATTCAAAATATTGGTTTTCTTGAATTCATTTTTACTTATTGGTTTACACTTAAAAATAAATATTGCATAAATAAAATATTGCAAAATTATGTTCATTATTCTCGCTTAAACAATATATGTATTGAAAAACAGTAGCATAATCATTATAAGTGATTAAACAATAATTATTTATTGTATTCTCACTAACAACGAAGTAAACCTATATAATTTGAAAAAAGTTAAATAAAAACGGATTTGAAGTGCATTAAAATAATAAATTGATATGTCAAAAGATTTGTGACATTTAAAATATTTACAGTTTAAAATATATTTACTTTAAAATAAACGAAAAAAAATTAAAATAAAGGAAGGCTGTGTTTTAATTTTTTTAGCTTTTTTTTGCACAATATATATATATATATATATATATATATATATATATATATATATATATATATATATATATATATATATATATATATATATATATATATATATATATATATATATATATATATATATATATATATATATATATATATATATTTATATATATATATATATATATATATATATATATATATATCAAGGACTACTATACGGAAGGACGCGCAAAGTCGATTTCCTGACTTCGCTAGCAAAGGCCATTATTTTTATCAAAGCTAAAGTGTTCTTTAACGTTCCTGTAACATTTTTTTAAAATTTTAACCATAATCATGGTGAACAAATGTGGCGTTGTAAGTTGTAAAGGGAATTATAATAAACTTAATAAGTGTCGTATTTTTAAATTACCGAAAAATGAAATTGAGAAACAGAAATGGATTAATGTTCTTCCTTTACGTAAAAATTTTATTATTGAGCCATCTGAATTTTTTATATGTGAAAAACATTGGCCTGGAAATACAGAAATGATAAGGCTGCCTGGTGGCTATACTCAACCAGCATGTGCACCTTGTATTTTAAATGTTCCTTTTTCTTTTTTACCAACGCCAAAGCCTGTGCCTCGCCAATCTAAACCTGAGGACATGCAATTGAATTATTTCATCAAAAAAGATAGAATAAATTCGTTTTCT